AGTTCAGATGGAGGTAGCAAATTTTTAGAAGTTTTGAAAAGTAAGACCTACGATGAGATTAAGGGGATTCATGATAATTTTTCAGATTTTCTTTCTTCAAATGGAACAATTTAATTTGTTGTTCTTTAATCACTAAGTCGTGTCTCACTCTTTGTGACCCTGTGGACTGCAGCAGGCCAGGCTCCTCTGTCCTCCACCATTTCCTGGGGTTTGCTCAGATTCCTATCTATTGAACTGGTGATGCTAACCATCTCATTCTCTGCCATGCCCTTCTTTTGCCTTAAATGTTTCCCAGCATGAGGGTCTTTTCCAATGATTCAGCTGTTCGCATCAGATGGCCAGAGTAGTTATTCATTTATAAATATGCACCTTGTGTCTATGTGCGTGTGTATATCTATATGAATTTCATAGAAGATAATGCTTAATTATGCTTTTGCCACAAGGTTTTCCAGTTTTTCTCAGCCATGGATACACATTAGAATGATTTGTGGAACTGGGGGGAAAAAAATGAAATAAAACAATGCCCAAACATGTGCGTAGATTTCCTCTCTGATTCAGTGAGTCTGGCATGGAGTTTGACATGTGTAATTTCTTTTTTGTTTTAATTGTCCATGGCTGCTTATGACGTAGAGCCAGAATTAAGAAGGACTGGTTAAATGTTTCGAAGACAGGATAGTAGTATTCTTAGTGAGGCAAATGGTAGATAAGAAACACATTCAATACAGTGTATGTAGAGAGGATGTCATTTTAAAGCCGTCATAGCATCTTGAGATCTGTGGTATAACCGTGAGGACACAAGCTGACACTTTGGTTCTGTCATTGCCGTTGGAAACGGTGCTGTGAAACTGATGTCCGAAGTCTTTATGAAGATGAGAAGGGACTGGAATTCTGGGTTTGCCTTACTCATCTTCCTAGCAGTGGGTCACTGGACATGAGAAGCAGTAGTGAAAGACCATGGAGTCTGATGAAGAGGTTGAAAAGTTTGGTCTTAGACTTGCAGGGGATCCTTAAACCTATCAGTGAGGGAGGCAGGGGCGCAGTTCCCAGGTGAGGACGCTGCAGCACACACAGGTTGTCTTAGTTATCATGGCTCAGTTTACATATTTCCCTTTTTTTCCTGGTCATCTGCTACCTTTAGAACTTTCTTTGAGAACAGATTGTATTTATTGTTTGGCCTTTTATTTGTTGCCCCCATTTATTCCTCATAACAGTACAGAATAATGAAGAATTGAAAGTTTTCACGTGCAACATGATTTATGTCACACAGAGTAAATAAATGGTAGGCTAAAGTTCATCCTCTTTTCATTTTCAGAATCCTTTTGTCAATATTCTTTGACCACACTGTGGCGGTATTTGGAATTTATCTTTGTTATTGAAAAATAATCACATTACAGTTTAAGACTTAGGCCATTAAAAGTAAAAATCATCCACCGACCTTTTATTCACAGAATAGTATGCTGGTTCAGAGTAGACACCTTGAAGGCTTACTGGAATACTTAAAGAGGTATGAATATCCCTGTTTGCTGAAAGTCTAAGGATGTACTAAAAGAAGTGGTAACAGAAGTCAGTGGAAATCTTCCGGGTTTCTGATGGATTCAGATGCTGCTCCTGGGTTTCGTGTTTTTAACGGAGTCAGGGAAGAACGTTTACTCTTAAAAGTCTTTCTTGGTTTGTTGGCAGAATATCTGCTCAAAGTTACACTCACAGAATGTTACATAATTAAACATGGGATAACTTATTAGTGACTGATTTATGAGTTCATAAGAAATACAGTTATCCATATCCTTGTTTTAAACTTTGCAGCATATAAATGTATTTTTAGATACTGCACGGGATATCAAAGTCCTCCAGTTGCTTTCCACTGTTTTAATATGCCAGTCTTCTGTTTCTTTTGCAAAATTGAACATGTCCCTTCTGTTGCTGTTGGAACAATACTGATACTTCCTTTGACTTTTTCTTTGATAGGAATTGATGAACAGATTCTCTAAGAAGATACATAATTTAAAAGATCTTAATAGTTTACTAAGTACAGTATGTAGCATTGATTATTACCACATTCTTCATAAAAGTAGAGGGTGTCAAAGCATGTGTATAGTACACAGTGGCAGTGATGGCAGTAAAGTTTGCCGAGGAATTATCCTTTCAGAAAGTGTAGACTGGCTGAGGTCCCATTGCCTGCTTCTTTTACTGTTTTTTATTCTATTTTGCTGACAGTACAGTGGAAAAATCCCAGAAGAAAGAAGAAGCAATAAGAGGAGCTATTGCTATGATTGTACTACCGACCTAACAAATGACTGGAAGGTCAAATGAATAGGCTGGAAATATAGATTTCCTGGAATTTTGAGAGCTATAATCGACCCTAAAGACAATCTAGTCTAGTCTCCTGATAGAAATAAGAACTTTGAACATGTTTCTAGTATCCTGTACTTTTGGTTGACTTTCTGAAAAATGAGCTTAATTTTACCTAAGAAGATATGACAGGATGTAAACAGATTTCTTAGATTTTATAAAGTCATTCATTCATAGATATTTATTAAACACCTGCTGTGTGCCAAACACTATTGCAGGTTCTGGGAGTGCATAGATAAGATCACCATATTCCTATTACCTGAAACTCTTAAAAGTCTAGGTAGGCTGTAAGGAAGGCTTTCAAGACTTTATTGGTTTTATGGTATTTACTTGCTACTAAAAATTACATTTGGTATGGTTTTATTGTTTCAGACTAGTCTGACTTTCCTGGTCTCAACTGTAAGTGTTTCCTCTATATTCTCTGTTTTAAAATGACTTGAAATAAGTCAGGTGATGTTTAGATGTGAAAATTGGTCCTTTCTTTTTGGGAAGTGAGGTTTGATGATGGTGTGTTTGTGTCTGTGTCTCTGTATGTCCTGGAGTTATTAATAGACTGCATAAGTTCAAACCCCAGCTTCCTTACTAACTAGCTATATGGCTTTCAGTAACTTATTTAACCTTGTGTATAAGTTTCCTCATTTGTAAAAATGGTGCTTATAATAGAGGGTACTCTTTGTAAGGTAATACATATATAGTGCTTGACACATTGTTTTCAACAAATGTTAGCTACTGTGATGATAATAATGATGTACTTACCTCTTTACTCCCTCTATTTCCAACCAAATATATATGTCTCTGTGTGTGTGTGTGTATAAAACCGTTTAGGCAACTGAATGAATGCTTATTTTGAATTTAAATTTGGTACGATAGTATAAAAGATTCTACTAGATCTAGTCATTGTTTCTGCTTATCTGTCCTCTGTTCTTACTTACGTCTTCCTGATTATTCTTCATTAATAGCTAGTTTTATTATATTACTTATTCCTGTAAATATTTCTTCCTCCCCATCGCCCCCCCCCAATTGCTTTCTTAGAGGATTCCCTGCAGGACATCTGGTTCTGTCTAAAACATTCATAAGATATTTGGTCCATGCCAAAAGCTTCTTGCAGTTGGCCCTGTCTAAAATGTCCATGAGCATACTTGATCTATGCAAAATGGTTTTGGACAGGACCCAATTTCAGGAACCTTATGGTGTGGACCCAATGTCTTAATGGTCATTTGAGACAGGACTCAGTGTCTACTCACCTTGAGAGTCATGTCTAAATTCAGGGATCATGTCTGTATTCAGAGACCTTGCTCCCCATCAGACAGCCTCATCTTCTGCAGTTCCTCTTCAGGAGTCTTGCTGGTTGGTGCTTGTCTGGATAAGAACCACGAGTGTAGCTGTGCAGTAAGTGTCTGGCATATGTCATGGGTCAGGTATATTGTTGGTTTAATCCAGAAACAAAGATGACTGGTAGGAGTAGGTAGATATTAAAGCCTTTGATAGGTAAGCTGTAGAAAAATTGATACTAAAGGTATCTAAGGTAGGAAGATTGCAACATTTTAAAAAGAATACAGTGGAGTTCAGAATTAGATGGTAAGATAAATTGACACAAAGAAATATCAGTGTAGCCTTATCTCCGCTATACTTTCTAGTTGTGTGACTTGAGAGAAGTCATTTTCTCTGTGCTTCAGTTTCCTTATCTGTTTGTGTGTGTGCATGCTGTCACTTCCACTGTGTCTGACTGTGTGAGACCCTATGGACTCTAGCCCACCAGGCTCCTCTGTCTGTGGGATTCTCCAGGCAAGAATACTGGATTAAGTTGCCATGCCCTCCTCCAGGGGATCTTTCAGTTCAGGGATCGAACCCACATCTCATGTCTCTTGCATTGGCAGGTGGGTTCTTTACCACTAGCGTCACCTGGGAAGCCCCCTTATATGTTTATATGAGGGATGTTTTATATTCTTCATGGTTGTGAGGATTGAATGAATTAATATGTGTACTAAGTTTAATATAATGCCCAATGTACAGAAAATGCTGTCCGTTTCCTTTTATTATATGGAAATTAATAGATATTTACATTTTAATCTGTATTCTAGTATATTGTAAGAGACTGGTAACATTCATTGGTGACATAACTTGCCACAGTTACAAACATATTTATGTGGTTCTTCGTTATATTTTTAGCCTACAGTATTTAAAAATGACACTACAGGAATGAAAAATACTAGTGAAAAGATAGTTGTTTCTAAAAGCAGTATCCCAGATGACATATGTCTACTTCTCGGATTTGTTTACTGACTTGGGAAAAATTGGGTGCTGTATAGATCAACTGCCTTTTCTTTTACTTTAAATGAAAGAAAAAGACTAGGGCCAGAATAAAGTATATTAAATACATGTAGTTTGGTTCTGTACATTGCTGTTTTTAACTTTTTTTTTCTAGAAGAGACAGCTGTCTTATTTCTTTTAGACCCGGAATCTCTGAGATTTCCGACTGTCAACAGAAAGTAGCTGATTATATCGATGTGTAATCTAACTCTAAATCTCAGCCTTAGTAAACAGCCTGTATGGAATATCAGGCCATCAGAATATCTGTCTGTTGTATAACTTTGTCAGTCGCTACAAACAGCCCGCACGCACCATAAGCTCCTTAACGAGACCCGTGACAGCTTCGGTCGCCCAGGGGTAGAATGCTACTGCCAGCATGACAGTGGGGCTGCGGTAATCCAGCTCCAGTTCCTGATGAACGAGGTGAGTGAGCTGCTTTGATCTCTTCTGCTTACCTGTGAAATAGGGCCATACCCCATCTTTCAGAATTCTTGCATGCAATTATATTTTAATATTTGAGCAAAACCAAATTTCTTGTAGGCCAGCGCTAATAGTTATTCACTTTAAGGCATCATCATGGACAGTTACATAAATAATGTAAGATGTTTCTGAAAACAGTGTTGAAAATAGAATGGCATAAGGTAAGATCTCTTTGGTACAATGTGCTGTATTTAAATTTTATTCCATGGATATTGAAAGTTGTGTAACATATAAAAATCTGCATTAATTTTTTTCAGATTGATCTTATTATAAATAACAAAATGTACTTCTTGCCAGTGAGTTGTTTTGAAATACAACCAGGAAACCAAAATCCATTAGACACTGGTTATTGTCCAGAGTTCTTGCTGTATCACTTATTGGGTGAAGTAATTGATGCCTTTCTTTGCAATACAGTGTAAAGTTGGGAGGGAATTAGAGATACATCATTTTATTAGCAGAGTAAACAATGTGTCTGCAGGTTTTAAACAAGTTTGAGCAGCTCTGACAATAGATGTTTTCAGATGTAGGGACAGGCAGGAAAAGGTGGTCATAGAAGAAAAGCAAATTACTCCAGAAAAGATTCTGCTATACTTGGATATAGGGTAGTTTGTGGGCATTCTTTTTGCCCCTGGATCCTTGGGTTCCATGGAATAACTGTTTAGATGTAAATAAGAGAAAGAAAATACTTTTCTTCGTATCAGAGGATTTAAGTGAGGCAGTAGGGGATATACAGAGCTAAAGAGGGTGATATAAAGATTTTAGTAAAACTGAAAAGGGTAATATATTTTAGTAAAACTGTGATCCAAATGATACACAATTGTGTAGGTGTTTCAGGGTCAGAGGGAAAAACTTCAGTATTCAATTCAGTATTCTGTGTAAGATTGAGTAATAGGCTTTATAAAATGTTAAGATACACATAAAAAATCACTATGTAAAAAGTTGTTGAATCCATATGTGAGATTTTTTTCCTTTTTTAAAAAGAATTATTATGAAATAATTAGAATGGCCACTAGCTTCAAGATAGAGACCCTATGTACCCTCTCCCCTCTCTGCTGTAGTAATATTTTACATAACAGTAGTAAAATATTAAGCCAGGAGAATGATATCAATACTATTAACTAGACTACAAGCCTTATTTCGATTTCACCACCAGTTTCTACACTCTGATTGTGTGTGTGTGTGTAGTTTTGTGCAGTTTTATTGCATACATACATTTCATGAAATGACCGACAGGAGCAAGGTACAATCAGTGCCCGCACATAGAGGAGTGCTCTCAGGCTGCCTCTCTATACTCGCATCCCTTACTGCTCTCAGTCCCTAGTACTTGGCAACCGCTAACCTATTCTCCATCTTTGTATTTGTGTTAAGATCTTTTTTTTTTTTAAAGCAAGATGAGCAATATAAATAACATTGCAAATTGATTAACTATGCACCTAAATTTGGTCCCCCCCCCCCGGTAGCTCAGTTGGTAAAGAATCCACCTGCAATGCAGGAGACCCCGGTTCAAGTCCTGAATCAGGCAGATCCCCTGGAGAAGGGACAGGCTACCCACTCCCGTATTCTTGGGCTTCCCCTGTGGCTCAGCTGGTAAAGAATCTGCCTGCAATACGGGAGACCTGGGTTTGATCCCTGGATTAGGAAGATCCCCTGGAGGAGGGCATGGCAACCTACTCCAGTATTCTTGGCAGGAAAATTCCCATGGACAGAGGAGCCTAGTGGGCTACAGTCCCTGGGATTGCAGAGAGTGAGACACGAGTGAGCAACTAAACACAGCACACCTAAATTTTAGAAATCTTAACTAGTCAATTAAAAATCTTATATTCTTATTAGTTGATTATAAATCTTAATTGATCTTAAATAGTCATTATTGCATAATGCAGGATTGTTTTCTGTAGAATTTATGATAAAGTTCTTTGATATTTTACATGTTTAAATGTTACGCTTTAAGTACTTCAAAATGACAGTTTTAAAACATGCTTAGCAAAATATGACTTTAAATGGGAATGGCTATGGAAATGTAAAAATTAGGGAGTAGCTGTTTACTTTCATTTTTGGAAAACCATTATGTAGATAAATGAGCCACCATAGGCAGTCAGCTGTATTTTGTCTCTACATCTTCTTTTCTTCCTTGAGATACTAAGATGGGACAAACATCTTGGGAAAGAAGATGACCTGGTCTGAAACTATGGTGGAAGTAAGAAGGAAGAGTACAAATCTTCGATACTCTGAATCCTTTGAGTTTTCTGCTTCAGAGTGATGAAGATGCTTTCTAGTGAAAAGGAGAGTATGTGCACTTTTAAGTAATATTGGGGCAACAGGAGTAGTTACCCAATAGAGTAGCCCTCATCAAATTTCAAAGGTGGAAGAACTTCGTGAGATCATTGAATGTGAATCATCTTCAGAGCTATTTTAGTTCTCTTGGATAAATGAGAAACTCTTCCTATTTTAAAAGAGAAATTTTAAGATTTCTCATCGTAACCTGAAGGATTGGAATTGCAAATCTTTTTTGAAATTAAGTTCTTCATGTTGCATCTATTATCTTATTCTCTGTTAGATGAAGACTTTTCTTCCTCTTTTGAGGAAAAACATTCATATGTCTTAATAAATCAGTCTTAGTCTATAGATTTTTAATCCAATTCACACATCAAAATCACTGCTGGTGATTTAAAAAAATAAATCTGCAATGGTTCTTGCTCTAAAAATTCTGATTTGTCAGGTTGGAGGTGAGACTGAGTCCCCTGCATGATTCTCACATGGTGCCAAAGGTTTTCTTTTTCAGACCTGATATTGTTTAATAGTTTTGGCTATTTAACTTTCTAAATTAGTCAGATTCTTCAACCCTTGGACTCTGAAATTGTAGAGAGCTGAATGCTATCTTTGTTTTCCACATCATTCTAGTAGAATTATGATATAAGCAGAGTACGTTCATTTGTCTTAAGCCAAATCAAAGTTACTTCATACCATATATTTATCTTTTAGTCAAGGGGAGTATGTACGATAAGGACAAAGTAGCTTATGGTCTGACTTCTAGTTTTACATAACTAGTTGTTAATAACTATATCCAACTAGATCCTGGTATCAGTTCAGTTCAGTCTCTTAGTCATGTCTGATTCTTTGTGACCCCATGGACTTTAGCACGCCAGGCTTCCCTGTCCATCACCAGCTCCCAGAGCTTGCTCAAACTCATGTCCATCGAGTCAGTGATGCCATCCAACTGTCTCATCCTCTGTCGTCCCCTTCTCCTCCTGCCTTCAATCTTTTCCAGCATCAGGGTCTTTTCTAATGAGTCAGCCATTTGCATCAAGTGGCCAAAGTATTGGAGCTTCAGCTTCAGCATCAGTCCATCCCAATGAGTATTCAGGATTGATTTCCTTTAGGGTTGACTGGTTTGATCTCCTTGCAGTCCAAGGGACTCTCAAGAGTCTTCTCCAACACCACAGTTCAAAAGCATCAATTCTTTGGTGCTCAGCTTTCTTTATAGTCCAAGTCTCACATCTATACATGACTACTGGAAGAACTGTAGCTTTGACTCGATGGACCTTTGTCAATAAAGATCCTAGTATACTTTTAGTTTATAAGATACAAAACTGCACTTTAATTAAATTGTTGAAGTTTAAATATAATTTTTATACATCTGTATACACATAATACACTCTTCTACGTCTGCTGCTTAGAATTTGGGTGAGGCAAATGTTTCTCAGAACTAAAGCTAATGTTGGCAAAAAGCTTTGAAATTTGAGAAGGAGATTTTTTGGCAGCTCTTTTAGTAGCATTAATGTTTGTAAATATATTCTATATAAAATACATTACACTTTATTTTTAAGGGAGCTCTTGTGAGTGCCTTGGCTGATGACACCTTACATTTATGGAATTTACGTCAAAAGAGACCTGCCATACTACATTCACTTAAATTTTGCAGGGAAAGGTAAGAATTTCCTCAGTTATTTTATGTATACGCTATTTGATACTTCTTGAAATTTTTTGAATATTATTCTTTGATTTTTTGTGATGGATTTTGTGTACAATCTAAAAAATAATTCAAAAACTTAAGCTGCTGTACAGTAAAAAGCAAGTTTCTTTCCTTTTCATACCCATCTTCCTCTACAGAGGTACCCACAGACATTTCTTTTGTGTCCCTCTAGAACTATATAAATACATAAGCAAAAATCTCTATATATAGCTTTTTTATTTGCATAAAGGTAAGGCATTACATATTCTCTGTGTAACTTGTGTTCATTTAATAAAGCTGATTGATTTTTTTTCATGTTGTTATATTTAAATCTTCTTTAGGCATTCTTCTAACTGCATAATACTTCATTGTATGGAATCGCTATAATTTATTCAGACTGTCTTCATGAATTAACTGGAAGTTTGATATATCTAAGACTGGGTTTAATATGAATGGACATTTCTATCCTTTTCAGTTTGTTGTTAATTATGCTCTGTGATGTTACATATTTCTGTGTCCACTTAGGCAAGTATATCTGTAATATCAATTTGTAGAAGTGAAATGACTTGGTTATAGAAATCTCACATGACTTGTGAATTTTGTGGGTGATTGAAAGGGCTTTTCACTCCAATTTGGTTAAGCATTCTCCCATATTTTTTTAAAGTTCTCTTAAAGCTGAATTTTTGTGCTTAAACTTTGATTCATGTGGATCTTACTTTGGCATGAACTGTGCATAAGGAGTGCGGTCTCCCCTCCCCATTGTTTATGTTGTATATTTTGGTGTGTACATGTATATTTGCTATGCTGTGCTTAGTCGCTCAGTTGTGTCAGACTCTTTGTGATCCATGGACTGTAGCCCACCAGGCTCCTCTGTCCAGGGGGATTCTGCAGGCAAGAATACTGGAGTGGGTAAGCCTTTCCCTTCTCCAGGGGACCCTCTCAACCCAGGGATTGAACCCAGGTCTCCCACATTGCAGGTGGATTCTTTACCATCTGAGCTACCAGGGAAGTCCAAGAATACAGGAGTGGGTAGCCTGTCCCTCCTCCAGGGGATCTTCCTGACCCAGGAATCGAACTGGGGTCTCCTGCATTGCAGGCGGATTCTTTACCATGTGAGCCACCAGGGAAGCCCGTATGTGTGTGTGTATATATGTATATCTGTGTGTGTGTGTACGTGTGCATGTGTGTTAAGGTTAAGAAATCTGAATCTGGCTAGCATCTGAATCCAGTGGAGTTAGTGTCAGGCCATGTCTGTGAGAAGGTAGGCATTAGACTCCACAATCCATGTCCAAGAATCAGGCCATGCCTCTGCCTTGAAAAATATCAATCCATTCAGGTTATATAAACTGATCAGTCTGTTTGTGAATTTGGGCTTCTGCCCACAGTGGCCTTCCAAAGTAGACAAGCTAAAGAGGCTGCTGGGAATATAGCATAGACTTTCCTAGCCAACACCAGAGCATGTCTGCACTGTATGCCAGACCAGAGCTGGCAGGTGGTCAGTAGCATAGTTAGCTACTGGGCTACATCTTGTCAGGGAAGATAAATCCGTAAATGGCTTGGAGTCGTGGTTCTACTACTAGGACAGGGGCAAACATGGTAGAGGAGTTTATAGAAGGAGGGAGCGATGAGATAAGGGAGAAAGAGCAAGGCAAAAGTCAGGATTCAGTTCTCTCCATCCAATGGGAGTAGAGCCAGCCCAGCAGCTTGCTGGGCAGAGTTTCTTAGTCTGTTTGCCAGTGGGATCTCAGAAGAGGCTCTCCATCAGCCTCAAATGCCATTGAGCTGGTAAAAGTAGTGGTGGGCATCTCAGTACTCATCTTCTTGGTGTCGGTCTCAAAGCACCTACTGGCAGTGGCAGTGTAGGTCTATCAGAGTTGTTGTCAACCTGGTGCGTTTGTACCCTACAGAGGGCATTTGACATTGTCTGGAGACATTTTTTGTATACCTGAATTGTGTTGGGTGAGCAGCGCTACTGTTACCTAGTAGATAAAACCACGGTTACTGTCAAACATATTAAAATACACAAGACAGTCCCCCACAACAGAGAATTATCTGGTCCAGAACATCAGTAGTGTCAAAGTTCACAAAAGCCTGCACTCTAGCACATAGAAGTGATATCATTTGATCACCATGGGGTGCTCTGCAGGTTCTCTTAATCAACTACCCACTGAAGGGATTCTTCCAGGATGTAGAATTCTAGAAGAATAATATCTCTGATAGTTCATTTACCAGTGGCATGCCCATATTGCTTGCTGGGACACAGGAATGTGGCAGTATGTCATCCAAGTTCACAAACATACACTGCAGGTTATCATGGTAATCTTCATGCAGGAAGGATCAGGCCTCAAGGAGTCCCGGAGTGGTCAGAGTCCCATGATTGTCTGATATGTAGTGGAGTCTTCTCTGTAGTACCCCTAAGGTTGGTCTCCAAAAAATTCTGATAAATGTGGATAATGTGACAAACGGGTGGCACCTTTGTGTGAAATATGAAAAAGTAGCCCTTTTGGGGGGTTACAACTTCAGAGTCCACCATTCCTCTCCTTCAGTTCAGTTCGGTTCAGTGGCTCAGTCGTGTCTGACCTTTGCGACCCCATGAACCGCAGTACGCCAAAAGACTCCCTGCCCATCACCAACTCCCAGAGTTTACTCAAACCCATGTCCATTGAGTCGGTGATGCCATCCAGCCATCTCATCCTCTGTCATCCCCTTCTCCTCCTGCCCTCAGTCTTTCCCAGCATCAGGGTCTTTTCCAATGAGTCAGCTCTTCGTATCGGGTGGCCAAAGTATTGGAGTTTCGGCTTCAAAATCAGTCCTTCCAGTGAACACCCAGGACTGATCTCCTTTAGGATGGACTGGTTGGATCTCCTTGCAGTCCAAGGGACTCTCAAGAGTCTTCTCCAACACCATAGTTCAAAAGCATCAATTCTTCGGTGGGTGCCATTGTGCAGGGTGCAGCCGATACAATTGTATAGTGAAGTGAAATCGCTCAGTCATGTCCTACTCTTTGCAACCCCGTGGGCTGTAGCCCACCAGGCTCCTCCGTCTGTGGGATTCTCCAGGCAAGAATACTGGAGTGGGTTGCCGTTTCTTTCTCCAGGGAATCTTCCCAACCCAGAGATGGAACCCAGGTCTTCCAAATTGCAAGCAGACTAAAAGTTACAAATCAAACCAACTGATGGAATTCTGCGTTTTCAGTTCTGTAATACACTCTGCCCACCTCACCAGTAGAAACTGGTTGGTTCTGATCAAAGTTCAGCTTCCCCTCAGCCTTTATTGTGCTGTGGCTAGTCGCTCAGTCCTGTCTGACTCTGCAACCCCGTGGATGGTAGCCGGCCAGGCTCCTCTGTCCATGGGATTCTCCAGGCAAGAATACTGGAGTGGGTCACCATGCTCTTCTCCAGGGGATCTTCCCGACCCAGGGCCTTTGTTAGGACAACAAAAAGCAAGACACTGTAGCATGGGTAACTTGGTTCTTGAGTATCCTCTTCGGATGAAATCCTCGAGGATGGCCACAGACTCCATAGCAGCTGTTGTACCTCAGTGCTGAGAAGTGGGCCCCATGCCTCCGTAGAACTTTGTTGTGTTCTCTTGAGAGTAAGGCTTCCCTGGTGGCTCAGAGGTTAAAGCGTCTGCCTCCAATGCGGGAGACCCAGGTTCGATCCCTGGGTTGGAAAGATCCCCTGGAGAAGGAAATGGCAACCCACTCCAGTATTCTTGCCTGGAGAATCCCATGGACGGAGGAGTCTGGTAGGCCACAGTCCACAGGGTCGCAAAGAGTCGGACACGACTGAGCAACTTCACCTCTCCTTCTTCTTCAGAGTAAAGTTCAGATTTTCTAAAATGGTAAGAAGGGGCGAGGTGGCATTTGGGAGTCTACTATTCTGCAGCATCTGGTTCCAGGTGGGGAGGGGAAGGCATACTACTATGCCTACTACAGCTCTAGGAACCTGCCCGTGGTGGTAAGACTTATTCTGCCCCTCACCCTGAACTCTGTCATTTACGACTTTTGACTTTTCATCAGTTCAGTTCAGTTCAGTCACTCAGTCGTGTCCGACTCTTTGCAACCCCATGAACCTCAGCACGCCAGGCCTCCCTGTCCATCACCAACTCCCGGAGTTTACTCAAACTCATGTCCGTTGAGTCGGTGATGCCATCCGGCCATCTCATCCTCTGTCGTCCCCTTCTCCTCCTGCCTCCAATCCCTCCCAGCATCAGGGTCTTTTCCAATGAGTCAACTCTTCACATGAGGTGGCCAGAGTATTGGAGTTTCAGCTTCAGCATCAATCCTTCCAATGAACTCCCAGGACTGATCTCCTTTAGGATGGACTGGTTGGATCTCCTTGCAGTCCAAGGGACTCTCAAGAGTCTTCTCCAACACCACAGTTCAAAAGCATCAATTTTTCGGCTCTCAGCTTTCTTTATAGTCCAACTCTCACATCCATTCATGACCACTGGAAAGACCATAGCCTTGACTAGATGGACCTTTTTTGGCAAAGTAATGTCTCTCCTTCTTATATGCTATCTAGGTTGGTCATAACTTTCCTCCCAAGGAGTAAGCGTCTTTTAATTTCACGGCTGCAATCACCATCTGCAGTGATTTTGGAGCCCAAAAAATAAAGTCTGACACTGTTTCCCCTGTAATCTCTGCTCTGGTGGAAGCCTTCTGTAGGAGCAGCTGCCCCAGGCAGGAGAAGGGATGGAATCCTATGATTTCCTGCCCATCCTTCCATCTCCCTCATTTGCAGATATTGGTTCTTTTCTTTATATAACTGCTTCGTGTTCTGTTTTTATATCCATATCAGTCGGGGTAGTCTGGTTATTATAAAATACTCTAAAAATCTTAGAGTTAAAGGAACAACAGTTTATTTTTACTTAGGCTATATGTTCTTTGTGGATTTGCTGGAACACTCTTTATTATCATTATCATTTTTATTCCAGAATCTTGGCTGAGGAACAGCCAGTCTTTACAGCATTAC